ACACACACACACACACACACACACACTCACACACACACACACACACACACACACACACACACACACACACATGAAGAATATACTTGATACAGATCTACAATCAAACAGTGAGTATCACACACCGCTCCTGCTTCCAATGTCCGCCCTATAATGTACACATTGACTCTGAACAAGTGAAGACATGCAGTGTGTAAGCGTTTACTATTATCCAGATAGACAAACCGATTCACAGAAAGATTGAGAAAGACAGAAAAAAAGAAAAGAAATAGGCAGAGCGACAGACAAGATCAACAGACAAGAACGACAGGCAAACTGAGAAAGACAGGAGGTGGGGCAAAATGAAAGAGTGTGTGTTACGAACATGACATTCCAAAATTGTTCGCTGTTAAAAGAGTAAAGCGTGCTAGCCCCCACATGGCCAGATATATTTCCCAGGAAAGTTCCACAACATACACACACACACACATACACACACATACACACACACACACACACACACACACACACACACACACACACACACACACATCTCTTTTCAACCGGTCTTTGTTATGCCTCACACTTATCGTTATAATTAAACGCGTAGGTCATAGCCACCTAAGGCACAGTAACCTGGCAGCGCCCTGCTTGTCATTATGACTTTACTCACCCCTCCAAGCCACTCTGCTTATTATTGCATAGGCTTAGTTGTGAGCCAATTGGTCTATTAAAAGAACCTCGATTCACTTGAGATTTGGGCAGCTGCTTTGGAGATTTTTTTTCTCATATATATAAAGATTTAGAAATCTAGATATCTAGAGATCTAAATCTAGATTCTTGATTCTACAAGTTCTGCCATATCATTTTCAATCAAAATAGTCAATCTTACACAACAGTGACAACAGGCCCTACACGCAAAATCAATACAAATGTGAAATATTTCCAACAATTAATATATAAGATCTAATCCACACAAAGTTTAAAACTATAGACGAATAAGAAAATTTAGGCCTTCTTTTCCTATTTAGAAACATGAATTCCTGCCGTACAGTTAAAATATATAGATTTCTAGATCTAGAGATCTAATAGATAGATTCTATTATATTCTAGATATCTAGACGCCAACTTACCAGCAATTGAAAGTCCCGCTAAGTTGTCGAACGGTCAATGCTCTGATAAATGCATGTGCACGAGAGTACCTATCGAACACAAATTATAATGGTAGCGTCCTTCGTATTCTGCTGTAGGCACGGTTACCGGTCCAAGCTCGTTTGAATTGTAATATCGCCTTGATTCGGAAGCCAGCAATAAACCACCCCGTTCTTTCGTAGAAAAACGGGAAACCTCCTATCCCCCTTTTTGTGCCCCGACTACGCAAGCACTAAACTTTAACCGAACGTTTTTTCCCGCAATCGGTTACCACACCAGACGTAAACAACCGGTTCGTCAGGATCCTCGGAAACTGGAAACCAAAATATTTAGCAACTGAGTCGTCCAGATAGGAAACACATAAATTATCAATAGGCTGAGAATATCAATCTTGCAGTGATGACATTTGACGAACTTTGTTTATCCGTGGCGATTTTATGAGAAAACACAATACTTCCCTGTGTACAGTTTCCGAAAAATCCTAACGGAGTTCAATGCCCTTCTTTGACCTAAATAGTCGCGCGCGGCGCTGAGTTACTGACACAGAAAGAAAACGAGGTCGCAAAACAGTTCCGACGTCCGACAGGCGGCCCGGACCAAGTTTACCGTGACCTCCTCCCCGTCTGCTGCTGCTCCTGCTGTTGTTCGCCCGTCCGTGGTTCGTGCTGGTGTCTCTGCGGGCTGGGGGCGGGTGGGGGGCACACGGGCGGTGGGGGCGTAGACCGATATGACATGCTCAACTTGCTACTGTTCATGCCGACAGAAAAACGCTCTCTAAATTTATCTGCTTCGCGGCAGCTATGCAAAATGGGCTTGGCTCGATGGCGAGGCATTAACATGCACTCGTGACATTGGTTGACTAGGAATAAGGGGTTAAGATAAACGTGTTTCAAGCTAAAAGGTCATGATGGCGGCCAGCTTAATATTGTGTGAGGTTCGAGAGGACTAGGTCTACATTTTCTTTTTCTCTCAATGAAGCACAGTTTTGTGCCTGTCTGTTTTATTGACAACTTTTAGTTTGCGATGTGGGAGAGATCTGAATAATAATTCTTGATTCCAAACATTTTACCGACCTGTCTGGGACTGGACTTGCAGATCAATCTCTGAGAAGAAATCTCGACTTGGATTTCTATCTGGTCCCCAACGTGCCTGCACATAACATAATTTGTCAGGAAAGCTCAGATAAATCATATTAATTATTATGAGGGCGAATAGACCTGCTACTATTTCGTTTGTCCTTTATTTTATTTTATTTTATTTTATTCTTTTTTAAGGGAGAGGGAGGGGTCTATAATGGCGGTGCGTCATTTGCATCTACACCCAGTTTCGTTATGAAAAGGAAGGAAAAGTGAAATGAGTCTTTCCGAATTCGAAGAATTTCCCATCGTATTTAATCCCCCCTTTATCTCTTGGCGATGACAAATTTTCTGATCCAGACAGAGGAAAAACTTGGAACGCTTGCAGGCTTGAACTTCTACAATTGATAATGCGTCAAGTTCGAACCGACTAGGTCAAATCACTGGTGATGTAGTATATATCGCGTATAGGTTTGCTTGTAGACTATGTGCATAGGTTGTACTTTTATAATATAGTACAGCCTGTATCAGAGTCTGTGGTCTATGTTGATAAATATATATATA